TAAAATGCAAATAAAGCTCGAAGCATCCATCATTAGAATTTCAAGAACCATGAGCCATAATAGCAATGCACACAAAAATAAAAAGTCAAGAAGCTGCCAAGACATGTTATATCTGATCCTGCATGACTCTTCAACATGCATGTCTCCTTGGAGATCTGACTTGAAGGGAAATGGCTTAATCACATATTAACCCCTTGTAATTAGAGTAAGTAGCAAATTACACCCAATATTCACTAAACCTATAAATTGTTCCCTATTGACTAGTAATCAAATGTATGTCTCTAGCAAAAAGATAATTGTGTCCTCATTGTTATATTAGTATTAGATTATCCTTTTTCTTTTTTCTCTTCTTTACCTTTTTCATCTTTTTCTTTAATATGTATAGATTTATTTCTTCTCTTTCTCCGTATCAAGTATGATATACAAATTTTGAGAATAATGTACTAAATAGTTTTTTTGTGGTTTAACATGTAGTATTGCTTTATTGTAAATAATTTCTTTCAATGGATAAATATTTTTATCTTCAATTGATTATATAACATATCTAGCTATCGTAAATTGATATATGAGATGGGAAAGTGTACATTTAATAAATGTAACTTAAATAGTTCCTTTGTTTTCTTTGACGGTTTCTATTTGTGCATTAATTGTTGATAAAATGTTGACAATGCACTAGCAAGCAGTAATTGTTAATAAGATCTTTACGATGCACTAAAATATAAATTACATAAAATGCTATTACTATATATATATATATATATATATATATATATATATATTAGTTTCTTATAATAATTTACGGCAGTTAAATATTCTATAGGAAAATAATTGTATATGTTTGAGTGTCAAATAAATTGTTAGTAAGCATAAAGAAAAAAGAAGACGATGAAAAAGAGAAATTATAAGTAAACTATTTATAGTAAATAATTAATTTTTAATAAATAGAAATTAATTAGAAAAAGGAAAAATTAGAAGAATTCAAAATCAATGAACATTTCAAATAAGCAGTACATTTTAAAAAAAATATATTTCACATCAATTAAAATATTTCCTAAAAAAATATAAGATTATGATCTCTACAAAATGAATCTTGTATACCAACTACAGCCTCTCATATTTTATAATGTAATTTGTTCAATGAAATTACTTAATTAACACTAAAAACATTATTTCATAGTATGTGTATAAAAACAAAAAAATAAATAATATGTATGCGAGGCGGGTTAGGTACATGCGGTTCTTGTTGTGCATATGAGTAGATATTTTACTGTCTTTTGATCCAGTCAAATAATATAGATCGAGTACTCTATTTTTTTATTCGAATCGAATTGGATATGATAGGATTTCAAGTAAGTGGTTATTTTTGTCTACCCTTGGCTGCAAAAAAAACCAATCATGTTTTAGTCAGCCATACAAAATGACTTTTCCTTGCATGTAATTATATCCCAACTGCTCGATTTCTGGACTTCTAAAGTATATAGATTCATTCCCGACTCCCTAAGATATTGAATTACTCACCAGTCTTTAGGGAAGATGATAATATATTTACAGACCCATTGCATTCTATATTTATTGGTCAATATAAGTTGATTTAGTTGATAAGAATAAGTTGTCTTCTCGTAAAAGATTGTGTGTGAGGTCGTTGCATATGTGAAAACTATGTCGACGGGCGATTTGTAAGAATCTCTCTAAGTAACGTATGGATCCGAAAACATGCCATGACCTCTCGTCGTGGCTAGAGTCAAATTCATCCAAACTTTTTCTTAAAAAAAATCTATATTTATCAAGAAAGCGATTCACTCAGCAGCAATTCAAAACAATGCAACTAACACGTTACATGTTGCAAAAGAATTTTTTTTTTTAAAAAAGCCAGTCGTTATTTGTCAAGCTATATAGTATGTTTTTAGTCGACACTGCATGGGGTCAAAGCCATTATTACCTATATTGGAACTTTAAATTCATATTTCCGCGGGAAAATAATACGGAATTACCCCATACGGCAAGACTAATAATTGTAGTGCGGCTACAGGAGCTAATTCCTTTTTTTTTGTTATTTTTTTGTGTCCTAAGCAAATAGCAGATATTACAAGGGGATAGTGGCAGGGAATATCAAACTTTCATCATAAGATGGAAAAAAGCAAAAAAGATCCTTAGGCTTGATCTCATTCTCCAATCTCCATTCCCTAAAGTATGACTTCTTTGTTTGGATTGCATTTTTCTGGACTTTTTATAAAAAAATTATTGTAGCGATTTGATATATGTGAAATAAAAAGGTGATTGAAAAATATATGCACGAAAAACGTAGAATTTTTTTGGAAAAATTGCAATCCAATCAGATTGGAAAAGGCCTGAGTTGTTCTTTGGCCAGCAAAGTCATGGCTAAAATAGAAAATTCAGAATATATTTTCTCTGGCTGGAATCAGAATGCTATTAACATTTGTTTTCACAAATATGAAATGAAAACTCCAGAAAATGAGTCACATCTTATTGCTACAACATAGTTTCTACAGCTGAATCCACGGCCATCAGTTAAAAAATAAGACATCTTAAGATCTCTGTTTTTAATCAAAATTAAAAGTGACAGCCCAAAGGAACGAATTGGTAAAGAGGCAAAAATAGAAACTAATGCTACTATCTCGTTCTTGAAAATACTCACACTCCAGAACTTCTAGTGTATGCTGCCCTCTTCAGCCATCAAGAACTACAAGCAAAGAGTAAAGCTACCTGTTTATCTCTTCTATTTTGATGACTAAAATGTCAATTCATGGTCTATCATGGATCTTTAACAGGATATGGGGGCAAATCCTAGCAACCAGAATTCGACATTGTGGCCACAAAGCTCAAAATGGATAAGTTCAAGAATCTTTCAAAGACAAGCAAACCCATGCAGATGCAACTAAAGATGAATGTTTTGTATCACAAAAGAGCTATTGATTGAAGAAGATGCAAACATGTGACAATATATGGGAACTAAGAAATAACAGGATCACAGGAGATGATATCTCAAAGCAGACCAACAAAGAGAGAAACGTTCCGTATAATGTTCCTATTTTGTTTGATAAAACAAATGAAACAGAGACACAAGACAAAACTGAACTCTGATGTACACTGAAAAAGAAAATTCAGACCAATAATCTAATCAATTTGGCATATGGCTCAAAGCTTACCCTTGAATTTGTATGGGGAAATGCATTGCATTAATCCAAGGGAAGTTAGGCCGTGCATTCACTACATGCCGAAAGCAAAGTCCAAGCATCTCAGGAGTACAGATATCAAATTCCCAACATAGAAGTTGCCCAAGCTGACAAGGTTTACCAAAATCTGAGTTTTGCAAAAGCCTAAATTTGGAATATAACAGTGAATTGGATAATTTCTCATGTAAAAGACCTAAATTCAAAATCTTTTAGGGAAGTGTTAATTGAACTAAAAAAATTGCCATGCAACAACATTCATGACATCTTATTCATCAGGTCTTAATATCTATTCCCGATGCACTGAAGTTCAAATTTGATAATCTTTTAACATAGCAACAGCATCCTCCTTTAACAAGTATCTTTGACCCTTTACAATATTTAATCTTACTATTTCCTGTTATGTGCTTCCAAAACCTCCAATGAACTTAGCAAGGATGCATGTGTTAACTGGTTAGTATCTGAAAATATTTTCCTTTACCATCTTGTTCTACCAAGATACCTAATTTACATAAAGGGATGTAAAATAACACTCTGTGCAGGTGTATCACAAGGACAGTAATCCTCAATATGCACTTTTCCATCCCATATTCGATGAGTATGTTTAGGATATGTATGGGTTTTCTTGAAAGCAGAGTGAACACCACTTCTAAATATGCAGTATTCTATGTAACAGCCATAACTATGGCGAGATGTGACCAAGTAGTTCGCTTAAAATGCAATAATCATGTATACTTAACAATGTGAATGACCATTACAGATGTCCCATTAACCAAATGAGCTGTGAATGACTTCGTTGAAAGCTCATATAAACTTGAAGTTTTTGTCTAAAGAAGGTTAAAACTTTATTAGGAACCAGTGACAACCAACTATGGTGCAATGCGTTAACCAAATCAATAGGGCAAGGAATGAAATTCCCAAACGCACACCAGAATTAATAATTCTCTGCATCTAAGCTATACCCAGCTAAAAACACAGTTCCATATGGAGCTAATTATGAAAAGGACAGTACCAATCCTTCAGGAATTGGGTGATGATAAATCTTGAAGCATCTATCCAACGAATGTCTAGTATCGAGTAACATCAGAACTTTGTAACTGCAGAAGAGTTAAGTGGCTTAACTCTTTCTTTTTTTTTTTTGGGAAAGTTAAGTGGCTTACTCTTCTACTGGATCATATCCAATTACACTCATTCACTGCCCTAATGTTAACACATAGCTTCAATCGTGTAAGACAACATCTCTAACAACAAGCATAGAAAAAATCCATACCTCACTGAAATTTCTTGATCGAGAGAGATGAAATATTGGATTCTTTTTAGAATGAAGATGAAGATAATAGTGTACATATCCATCTTCTTAAAGATATTTCCAAATAACAAAACAGGTCTCTCAAGCATTTGCTGATGGCGAATTTGTGTAATCAATATACTAAGAAGCCATTGTAATCAATATACTCAGAGCTCAAGCAATGCAAAGATTACTGTTTGGTTTTATACAATGACTGGACAAAGATATCTAGGTTTTTTTTTTTCTTGGGGGGGGGAAGGGAGGGATCTAAAAACTTTGCAAAGAGGATTTTTTTTTTCTTTTGACAAAACAAAATAGTATCAGTGCACTCGAAAACAACAAAATCTACGAGCTGCTAAGATACGTTATATTCGATTCCTCATGACAAAATCATATGTCTTCACATGAACACTTGTCCAAGACAACATCACCATTGCCCTACGTTACCAACCTGACTATTGATGAGTAGGAAAATGCAGGGACTGCTAAGTCGCTTCCCGCCAAAACAAGATTGAGAGGAATTAAAGACAAGCTAGTGTCTCGACATGTGGGAAAGCCAAATACCAACTGTAGACATCTCTCTTTGTATCCACCTCCACATCAGCAAGCTCCATCAAAGTCAAGTTGTTAAAATCACAAGAAATGATTTTATCAGCAAGTGATATCACAAGCGTTGTTTTCTTCTCTTTGTCATCCACAAGAAAACCAATTATATGGAATGCACATGGCTCGTCAAACGTGGGATCATATTCCTCCTTTATCATCTGTGGATACAGAGTAGTCAAAGGAGTAAGATCAACATGATACTTGATATTCCAACGAAGACAGTCCCTCTCCAACTCCAACTCGAAAAAATCAAGCAGCATTCCATAAGGTTCGTTTGGACGAATATAAAACAGATGGCCCCCTGACTCCCCAAAATACCAATCACCTCCATGTTCCTCGAACTCGGGCGTCCTTATGGTGTACCTAAGTGGCCTAAGGCGCTCGTTACTGACGTCAAAGCACGCACTGTAATTCCATGGACTAATCCAATGAAGATCACCATTCCATAACATTCCCTTATCATAACATAAATCGTCAGTAGCCGTCTCTTCAGTATTCCTCCAAACCCCATTTTCAGAGGAATACACAGAGAATCTGTGAACCCATTGTTTAGATGAACCCACCCATATGCAAACAAGCTTGTAGTGATCAGACTTTTCAGGATCAAACACAATATTCAGATCTTTATAGTTATGTGGAGTTTCAATCATTGGAACAAGCTTAGACTCCCGAGTTGTGGGATTATAAACCGCAAATTCTTGACGATTATCGAAATTAAACACTATAGCTAATAAACCATTGCAAGAATGTAAACATGAAATGTTGCGGGGCCCGTAAAGGAAAGTATTCAAGTGAGAAACGATGTTGGCCATTGAATTTACCTCCTCCTGGCGGAACGCAATGAAACCAAAAACACGGGGAAGTTCTAACGGAAACAAAAGCACCCCGGGAGGGAAGCAGGAGGCAGTGGTAGTGGGGCGACCCCGCGAGTGGAGACGGCGGAAAGTGGGGTTGGAAATGATTGATTGCCATTGTTTGGAAACAGACTGGAAGCGAAGAAGGGATATTGGGGGCAAACGAAGTAAAATATGAGTTACGAGATGTTCATTGTGGGCTATAACAAATGCTGCAAGCGATGAAGAGGAGGAACTCTGGCATGGGCTCTTGGGATTTTGGTCTTCTTCTTGTTGTCGAGGATGGTTCGATTTTGAGGGAGTATGGGTGGTGGAAGAGATGGGTGAAGAAGGGGAGGAGAGAAAGATTTCTATGGGTTTGAATGAGTGTTTGATGATCGGCCCTTTGGGTTTTGCGGCGGCGGAAGGAGTTTGGAAGGTGTCGCCGGGAAGCATTCTGACCAGCTACAACGTGGCCGGTGGAGTGAGGCGGTGTTTGAATGGAAAGTCACATTTATTTCTTGGGATAATTTCATAAACCTCCCCTTAGATATTTAGCTATTTCGCTTAGTTTCCTTGACGTTTTAAACATTATACTTATCTCCCTTAATTAGATATTTTGGTAACCAAAACTTAAAATAGAGTGAAAATTTTAATGAATATCATAAAATACCCTTATCTTATAAAGTTTAATTTGTTCTTTTAAATAATTATAAAATAATTTAGCTCAATTATAAAAAAAAGAGGGTCAAGTTCTTCGTACCAATATGTGTTATTTAATAATCAACTATAATAATAAATCTTTTGCTATAATAGGCTATTTGTTTATAGAACTTTATTGGGGAATATAGAATTTTTTTTTACGATAGAGAAAAAAGTGTTATCTTTTTTTTAAAAAGTTTGTGGACTACTTTTTTTTAATAAAAGTTTATGGACTGGTTTAGTGTTAGAACTACCATAGTTTGGTAGTGATTTTTGGCCATTTTGTTTTTAATTATTGTTGATTTTAATACAAAAAAGGGTTGCAAAAAAAAAAGAATGATGTTAAAAGTTAACAAAAAAATATTACAAATTTAATGTTTGATTTGAATAAATACTAAGGACAACATTGATAATTTTTCTATATTTCTAATGAAATATAAAAGAAATGAATAAGAAGGAAAAAGGAAAAACAATTATAAAATCCATCTTTTGCATAAACATAGCAACAAGAGACTTTTATTAAAATATTAAGATTAGTATTGTCATTTTAAATAGGTAAGGGAGGTTAGTGTAATTTTTAAAAGTATAGGGGAGTCAAGTGAAATTATCAGAAACCTCAGGGAGGTTTCTGAAATTATCCCTTATTTCTGTCACCATAAGAAGAGTAAATAGAGTGGATAATTAGAGAGGGCCCAAGGGCTGAATTGAATGATAATCCACGTATCTTATCACTTGATAACGATGATTGATCCCTTAAACGCAGTATCAACGATAATCCCATTGCCTTATCATCTAATACATTAATAATACATAAAGCATATTCGATAACGGATCTGACTTACTATTTATACATTAACATTATTTGTACATTAATACATTAAGCATAATCCACAATGAAAATGTCTTATCATTTAAAATACGTAATGCATTAAATAATAATAATAATAATAATAATAATAATAGAATTTGGAGTTATATCCTCCAATTTACGTGTTAGAATTGATGTTCTTGGACTCATGCTAATTACTCATTAGGTAATCCTCATTTCTGAGAATGCATGTCAAGGGGATACATAACAGGTTGTCAATCATAAGATTGTTATTCTATGTCATAAAAGAAACTACCCATTGCAGAACATGATCATAGGAGAAACGACAGGATTAATAGGAGATCATCTCCCAAAGTAGACTTATAAAAGAAGTGCTGCATATGGTATTACAGTCTTGTCTGATCAAACTGAAAGAAACAGGGGTATGAGAGAAGAAACAACAGTGATGAACAAAATGATGGTGTATACTGATCTATTTACACTACAGAGTATCTCAAATACATCAAAAATTAAACCTGGGAATTGCTCGAAGCTTATCATTGCATAAATCAGGGCAAATGCATTGCATTAATCTAGGGAAGTTAGGCCGTGCATTCACTACATACCATAGACAAATTCTAAGCATCTCAAGAGTATAGATATCACATTCCCAAAAGAGAAGTAAAGTTGCCCAAGATGACAACAATGTTTACCAATATCTGAGTTTTGCAAAAGCCTAAATTTGGAATTTCACAGTGAATTGGATCATTCCTCAGCTGCAAAAGACCTAAATTCAAAATTGTTTAGGACAGATTTAATTGAATTAAAAAATTGCCCTGCAACAACATTCTTGACATCTCATTCATCAGGTCTTAATATCTGTTCCCGAAGAACTGAAGTTCGAATTTGATAATCTTTTAAAATAGCAACAGCATCCACTTTTAACAAGCATCTTTCCCCTTTTCAATACTTAACATTTGCTGTTATGCGCTTCCAAAACCTCCAACGAACTTAGCAAGGATGCATGTGTTAACTGGTTAGCATCTGAAAATATGTTTTCTTTACCACTCAGAAATGATTTACTGGTAAAGAATCAATCAAAATCAACCATCTCCTTCTACCAAGCTACCTAATTGACATAAAGTGACACAAAATAACCCTCTGTGCAGGTGTACTAGAAGGACAGCAATCCTCAGTATGCACTTTTCCACTGCATATTCGATAAATAGAAAATTTAGGATATTGGTTTTCTTGAAAACAGAGTGAATACCAGTCCTAAATATGCAGTATTCCACGTAAGGGCCATAACCATGGCGAAGTGTGGCCAAGTACTTTGCTTAAAATGCAGCAATCATGCATACTTAACCAATTTGTAACAAAAGCAGCTGCTAATGACTTCTCCATAAGCTCATAAATTTCAAGTTTTGTCTAAAGATGGTTAAAACTTTATTAGGAACCAGTGATAAGATACTATGATGCAATGTATTAACCAAATCAAAAGGGCATGGAATCAAATTCTTTAAATGCACACCAGAATTAGAAAAAATCTCTGCATCTAAGCTATACATGCTAAAAACACAATTCCATTTTGAGCTAATTATGAAAAAGGAACAGCAATCCTTTAGGAATCAGATGCTGATAAATCTTGAAACATCTATCCAATGGATGTCTAGTATCAAGTAACATTAGTACTGACTTTGCAACTACAGAAGGGATAAGCGGCTTAACTCTTCTAGTGCATCATATCTGATTACACTGATTCACAGCCCTAATGTTGTATTGTTTCAATCGTGCAAGATAACATCTCTAACAAGAAGCATAGGAAAAATCCACATCTCAATGATATTTCACAGCAGGCAAATCCAGTGAGCAGGAAGTCACTAACAACATATACTAAATAGACATAGACCAATTGTACACAAGCTAACATATCAATGTGCTGATAGGCTTCGCTCCATTTGTACTTTGAGACATCCCTCGAGGAATAGTAAAGCTTCTCCAGCACTACTTCAGCAACCTTTTTAACAGTCATATCATCAATACCATAAGAAATGACTTTGCCATCTAGAAGCTGCTAAGATACATTATAATCGATTCCCCAGGACAATATCGTACATGTCTCCACAAGAACACTTGTCAAAGACAACACTACCATTGCCCAACATTACCAATCTGACTATTGATGAGTAGGAAAATGCAGGGACTGCAAAACAGGATTGAGAGGAATTAAAGACAAGCTAGTGTCTCGACATGTTGAAAAGCGAAATCCCATCTGTAGACATCATTGTCAGGAAAACCATAATTTGTATCCACCTCCACATCAGCAAGCTCCATCAAAGTCAAGTTGTTAAAATCACAAGAAATGATTTTTCCAGTAAGTGCTATCACAAACACTGTTGTCTTTTCTTTGTGATCCACAAGAAAACGAGTTATATAGAACGCACATGGCTTCTCGAGCTCATATTTCTCCGTTATCATCTGTGGATACAAAGTAGTCAACGGAGAAAGATCAACATGATACTTGAAATTCCAAAAAAGACAGTCCCTCTCCAACTCCAACTTGAAAATATCAAACAGCGTTCCCTGAGGTTCATTTCCATGAATATAAAACAGATGGCCCCCTGACTCCCCAAAATACCAATCATCTACATATTCCTCGCCCTCGGGCGTGTTTATGGTGTACCTAAGTGGCCTAAGGCGCTCATTGCTGACGTCAAAGCACGCACTGAAATTCCACGGACTAATCCAATGAAGATCACCATTCCATAACACTCCCCCTCGATAATATAATTCATCAGTAGCCATCTCTACAGTATTCCTCCAAACCCCATTTTCAGAGGAATACACAGAGAATCTGTGAACCCCATTTTCATACCAAATGCAAACAAGCTTGTAGTGATCAGACTTTTCAGGATCAAACACAATATTCAGAACTTTACGGTTATGTGGAGTTTCAATCATTGGAACAAGCTTAGACTCCCGAGTAGTGGGATTATAAACCACAAATTCTTCACGATTATCGACATCAAACACTATAGCTAATAAACCATTGCAAGAATGTAAAGATGAAATGTTGCGGGGCCCGTAAAGGAAAGTATTCAAGTGAGAAACGATGTTGGCCATCGAACTCACCTCCTCCTGGCGGAACGCAATGAAATCAAAAACACGGGGACGTTCTAACGGAAACAAAAGCAGCCCGGGAGGGAAGCAGGAGACTGTGTTAGTGGGGCAACCCCGCGAGTGGAGACGGCGGAAAGTGGGGTTGGAAATGATTGATTGCCATTGTTTGGAAACAGACTGGAAGCAAAGAAGGGATTTTGGAGGCAAACGAAGTAAAATATGAGTTACGAGATGTTCATTGTGGGCTATAACAAATGCTGCAAGCGATGAAGAGAAGGAATTCTCATTTTGGTCATCTTCTTCTTCTTCTTGTTGAGGAAGGTTTGATTTCGAGGGGGTATGGATGGTGGCGCAGGTGGGTGAAGCAGGGGAGGAGAGAAAGATTTCGATGGGTTTGAATGAGTGTTTGATGGTCCGACTTTTGGGTTTTGCGGCGGTGGAGGGATTTTGGGAGGTGTCGCCGGAAAGCATTCTAACGTCGACAGTGGAGTGCGAAATTGGAAATGTGCAGATGGAGTTGCAGAGGACAATTAGATAAGGGGTAAATTAAATGATAATACAAATGCCTTATCATTTAATGCCCTAAGCATAATCGATAATGGAAATGTCTTAGCATTTAAAATACGTAATGCATTAAATATTGCTTAATTTGTATTCAAAATTTTAAGTGAGAAATTTTATGGGAAAATCGTTCAAAAAGTTCTTCATATTTTACAAAATAATTTTTTTCATCCCTTACTTTTAAAAGTGTACTTTTACGTCCCTTATAAATTCATATTGATTAAATTTGGTTCCTATCTAGGTTTCCGATCAGTTTTTTGTCGGAATCCACGACGTGCTTTGTACGTGATCATTTTTTAAGGGCAAAATTGTCAAATCAAAATTTACACAATTCAATCCATAGTCTCTCACATTTTACAAAATAAATTTTTTTGTCCCTCACATTTCATAAAATGAATTGTTTCGTCCCTCATATTTTACAAAATAAAATTTTTCATTTTTCATTGTTCATGTGTATGAATAACTTTTTTTTTAAACTAATTTATATATCTATTTGATCTCACATGGACAATACAAATAGCATGTAATATATCTCTATTTAATTTTCGCTCAAACATACTGCTTATGTGAAATTAAAATAGATATATATATATATATAGGGGTTTAAAAAAATTGTTAGTTTTTCACTCATGTTCATTCTTTTTACTCGAAAATTGAAAACAAAGAAGACATTTAATTCTAAACATTATCAAGTGTTTATATCGAATTAAATTTAGACAAAAAAAATAAACAAAGGAAGAGTATCACAAAAAGAAGTAAGTAATTCACACTTTCAAATTTTAAAATAATCATAAGGTAAGAAATTCAATTGTTGGTCTTAAAGGTAGCGAGTAAAAATTTCAGATTTAAATTGTAATTTGTTAGCATGACTATAGAATTCGAATTAACACCGATTAATTAGATACTCTTATTAAACAACTCAATAAATGAATTATTACTAAAATAGAAAAGATTACAAATATTGAATAGATTCACATGGTGAAATCACACACACACACACACACACACACATATATATATATATAGGTTTAAAACAAAATTATTAGATTTAAACCCATGTATATATCGATCTGTTTAGGTGAAATCAAAAAGAAATATATTATATATTATTTGTACTGTTTAGATAAAATCAAATAGATATATTCATGAATTTAGAAAAATAAAAACTATTCGTACACATGGTCAATGAGAGATAAAAAAATTCATTTTGAAAAATCTGAGGGATGAAAAAATTTATTTTGTGAAATGTAAGGGACGAAACGATTCATTTTGTGAAATGTAAGGGACTATAGATAGATTATGTAAATTTTGATTTGACAATTTTGCTCCTAAAAAATGATCACATGCAAGTCATGTGATGAATTTCGGCCAAAAACTAGTCGAAAATCTAGATAGGGACCAAATTTGACTAACGTGAATTTGTAAAGAACGTAACAGTACACTTTTGAAAGTAAAGGATGAAAAAAGTAATTTTACAAAATGTGAGAAATGTTTTGAACAATTTTTTCAAATTTTATCACATATATTATCCATTTTATTTCATGTATACAACACACTCGTATACTTACTCTCACACAAAGTACACATAACTTGTGTTGTGTTTTTCATCACATTCACGTACAAAAAATACACAAGCATAAATGCCACCTCTTAATTATTTTACTATTTTCACTTACGTACAGAGGGACACTTTTCTTTCTCTCAATTACATTAACAAATGCAGCATTTTTAAAATAAAATTATAAATATTTATGCAATATTTCAATTCAGTGATTAGATTCAATCAGTTATCACATATATATAACTTTAAAAACTTATCAATTTAATACTTTTAGCACTTAACTTTTAAACTTCAAAGTTCAGATTTTAAACTTCAGTGTGTCAAACAAGGCCTTACTCTGAAAATGCCTTCTTTTTTTTCCCCTTGTTATTTGATAAAGATACAAGAGCCCATTATACATTATAGTGGGATTAATACAAGAGAAAAAAGTCACATATAGTGAAATTTGAAAACAGGATTTCCAACTCTTATTCCCTCGACCTTAATCGTTTGAGACCTTAAGGGGATAGTGTAGGTCTATCATGTAGGGCAAAAAAAAAAAAGATAACGGATTTGACTTACTATTTATATATTAATATTATTTGTACATTAATACATTAGTCCTCCTGCTTATATTAAAAAAAAAATGAAATATTGCTTAATTTGTATTCAAAATTTTAAGTAAAAAATTTGCATTAAAATTTATCACATCTATTATCCATTTCATGTGTACAACACACTCACAAAGTAACATAACTTATATTTTTCATCACGTTCACACACAAATGCACACGAATAAATGCCACCTCTTAATTATTTTACCATTTTCTCTTAGGTACACAGAGACACTTTCATTTCTCTCGTTTATGCAATATTTCAATTCAATGATTAGATTCAATTAATTATCGTATAGATATAACATAAAAAACTCATCATTTTAATACTTTCAGCAAGTAAATTTCAAACTTCAAATTTTAGATTTTAAACTTCAATGTATCAAACAAGGCCTTACCTAAAAATGCCTTTTTTTTTCCCTTGTTATTTGATAAAGATACAAGAGACCATTATACATTATAGTGAGAGTAATACAAGAGAAAAAAGTCGCATACAGTGAATTTTGAAAGCAAGATCTCCGACTCTTATTCCCTCAACCTTAATCGCTTGAAACCTTACCATTAAACCAAGATCGCTTATCATTGCATAAATCAGGGCAAATGCATTGCATTAACTCAGGGAAGTTGCGCTGTGCACCAAGCCTCGACAGTATGAACAAATTCCAAGCAGCTTTGGACCTGCCAAATTCCCAGAAGAGAACTGAAGGTGCCCAAGATGACATAAAGGTGCATGAATATCTTAAGTTCGGAACTTTACAGTAAATTGGCTCGTTTCTCTCTAGCAAAAGCCCTTCATTCAGAATTTCTCAGGAATGTCTTAACTGAACCAGAAAATTTACCGTGAAGCAAAATCAAGACATCTCATTCATAATGTCGTAATATCAGTTCCTGAAATCACAAAAGTTGATATCTGATAATCTGTTAAAGGTAGCGATTTCCTATCCTTCTTTAACTAACATCTAAGACCCCCATCCAATATTTGACATTCCCTGTTAAATGCTTCACCAAAACCTCAAATCAGTTTAGAATTTATTGGTTACTATGTAAATATTTCTTTACCACTCAGACAAGTTTTACTGGTAGAGAAATGACCAAGATCAACATTCTTGTTGTATATATCACAAGGACAGTAATCCTCAATATGCATTACAGTTCCATATCAGGATGCCCAGAATGCCTAAAATATGGATTTTCTTGAAAGCAGAGGGAACACCATGTGGAGATACGTGGTTTTTCGCTGTAAGGATGATCCTTAATCTCGTGGCAAAGTGTGGATCGAGTAGATTCCTTATAATGCACTGATCATGAAAACTTACCAATTTGAATGACCATTATAGATGTCCATAAACATATTATGCTGATAATGACTTCGCCGAATTCTCGCCACCTATCAAAGTTGTGTCTTAAAAAGGTTAAAACTTCCTTAGAAACCTATGATAAGCAGCTATGATGCAATCAGTTAACCAAATCAGAAGGGCAGACAATTATATTCTTGAAATGCTCAACAGAATTGCAAAAATTCTCTGCATCCTAGCAATGCAGAGCTAAAAACACCATAAGGAGCTTATTCTGAAAAATGAGAGTATAACCCTTTAGAAACTGGATGCTGAAAGTAAGGGCCATCCAAAATCTAGTGGCAAAGTGCGATGACATAGATTTTAACAATGATTAGAGATGCCATCAAGATATTGACCTGTGAATGACTTCACCAAAATCTAATAAAAATTCAAAGTTTGGTCTAGAGAAGGTTAGAGGTTTACGCAGGAACCAGTGAAAGGAAACTACAACGCAATCTTTATCAAATCAGAAGGGCTCCCATTGAATTTCTTGAAATGCACATCAGAGTTGTCTAAGCGATGCACAGCTAAAAACAGATATCCATAGGAAGCTTTTAACCAAATAAGAAAGGAAGAATCCTTCAGAAATTAGATGCTGATAAATCTTGAAACATTTATTCGAGGAATGTATACGGTCAAGTTGCAACATATCTGTTTAAATCTCTTCTGCTGTGTCTATATCATACCCATTTTACTGCCCTACACTAAAACATAGCTTCATCCATCTAAGATAACATTTCTATCAACAAAACAGAAGCTATCCATACCTCAATGACATTTCGAAGTAAGTAAGCAAATCGAGTGAGTATCAAGTCACTAACTGCATATACTATACAGACATAGACCAACTATACACATGCTAACGTCTCAACATGCTGACAAGCTTCGCTCCATCTGTACTTTGTGGCATCCCTCAAGGAACAGAAAAGCTGCCCTGGCTCTACTTCAGCAATCTCTTTAACAGTCATATCATCGATGCTGTAAGAAATGACTTTGCCATCTAGTGATATCACAAGCCTTGGCTTCTTGTTTGCCTCGTCCACCAGAAAATAAGGCATATGGAAATCACACATTTTCTCATCAGCAGGACAAAGATATCTAGGTTTTTTTTTCTGTTGGGGGGGGGGGGGGGGGGGGGGGGGGGGAGAGGGAGGATCTAAAAACTTTTTTTTTTTTTTTGACAAAACAAAATAGTATCAGTGCACTTGAAAACAACAAAATCTACGAGCTGCTAAGATACGTTATACTCGATTCCTCGTGGCAAAATCATATGTCTCCACATGAACACTTGTCCAAGACAACACCACCATTGCCCTACGTTACCAGCCTGACTATTGATGAGTAGGAAAATGCAGGGACTGCTAAGTCGCTTCATGCCAAAACAAGATTGAGAGGAATTAAAGACAAGCTAGTGTCTCGACATGTAGGAAAGCCAAATACCAACTGTAGACATCTCTGTTTGTATCCACCTCCACATCAGCAAGCTCCATCAAAGTCAAGTTGTTAAAATCACAAGAAATGATTTTATCAGCAAGTGATATCACAAGCGTTGCTTTCTTCTCTTTGTCATCCACAAGAAAACCAATTATATAGAATGCACATGGCTCGTCGAACGTGGGATCATATTCCTCCTTTATCATCTGTGGATACAGAGTAGTCAAAGGAGTAAGATCAACATGATACTTGACATTCCAACGAAGACAGTCCCTCTCCGACTCCAACTCGAAAAAATCAAGCAGCGTTCCATAAGGCTCATTTGGATGAATATAAAACAGATGGCCCCCTGACTCCCCAAAATACCAATCATCTCCATGTTCCTCGAACTCGGGCGTCCTTATGGTGTACCTAAGTGGCCTAAGGCGCTCGTTACTGACGTCAAAGCACGCACTGTAATTCCATGGACCAATCCAATGAAGATCACCATTCCATGACACTCCCCTATCATAACATAAATCGTCAGTAGCCGTCTCTTCAGTATTCCTCCAAACCCCATTTTCAGATGAATACACTGAGATTCTATGAACATAAATTCCAGAGGTATCTAACCATGTGTAAACAAGCTTGTAGTGATCAGACTTTTCAGGATCAAACACAATATTCAGAGCTCTATAGCTACGTTCAGTTTCAATTATTGGAACAAGCTTAGACTCCCGAGTAGTAGGATTGTAAACCACAAATTCTTCACGATTATCGACATCAAACACTATAGCTAATAAACCATTGCAAGAATGTAAAGCTAAAATGTTGCGGGGCCCGTAAAGGAAAGTATTCAAGTGAGAAACGATGTTGGCCATTGAATTTACCTCCTCCTGGCGGAACGCAATGAAATCGAGAACACGGGGAAAACGAAACGGAAACAAAAGCATCCCGGGAGGGGAGCAGGAGGCAGTGGTAGTGGGGCGACGCCGCGAGTGGAGACGGCGGAAAGTGGGGTTGGAAATGATTGATTGCCATTGTTTGGAAACAGACTGGAAGCGAAGAAGGGATTTTGGGGGCAAACGAAGTAAAATATGAGTTGCGAGATGTTCATTGTGGGCTATAACAAATGCTGCAAGCGATGAAGAGGAGGAACTCTGGTATGGCCTCTTGGGATTTTGGTCTTCTTCTTGTTGTCGAGGATGGTTCGATTTTGAGGGAGTATGGGTGGTGGAAGAGATGGGGGAAGAAGGGGAGGAGAGAAAGATTTCTATGGGTTTGAATGAGTGTTTGATGATCGGCCCTTTGGGTTTGGCGGCGGCGGAAAAAGTTTGGAAGGTGGCGCGGGGAAGCATTCTGACCAGCTACAACGTGGCCGGTGGAGTGGGGCGGTGTTTGAATGTAAAGTCACATTTATTTTTCCTTCACCATAAGGAGAGTAGACAGAAAAGATAATTACTAATTAGAGGGGGGGGCAGAAGGATGAATTGAATGATAATCGCATATCTTATCACTTGATAACCCCTATTGATACATTAAGCACTGTATCAACGATAATTGAGGTGCCTTATCATCTAACACATTAATACTCCCTCCCTTTTTTTATAACTGACGTTTAAGAAATTTGCTCTTAAGTATTTTTATCTGTCGTTTTACTATCCCCATGCAGCATTAATTATTTTTTCACAATTTTACCCTTTTATCTCTCTTTTCCAATACAGGGTTCTTAATTACTACCCCTAGTTAGTTTGCATTGCTTTTGGCCTAGTAAAACAACACCATTTAATACTCTAGTGAGAGAAAACATGGGTGAATTGGATAATTAATGAGGGTACAAAAGGAAAGTAGTGTATAGATTTAAACAATGAAAAACTTTTCTTAATTGGTGTGCAAAACCTTAAACGTCAGTTATAAAAAAAGGGAGGGAGTAATACATAAAGCATATTCCAAAACGGATCTGACTTATTATTTATACATTAATATTAGTATTTGTACATTAACTAGGGGGAAGCCTGCGCTAAGCGGAACTGAATAGTAATAGGTTTAATTGAATCGGTTGAAGTGGACGGAACTATAAGTAAATTGGTCAAATCAACAAACTTATAAAGGAAAACAAATTTATAAGTAAAAGAAATAGAATTATCGTAGATAATCACACGGCGTGTGATTCACACCATACTATTATAAATAATAATTATAACAAAGACATCATCGCCTTTTGTTACTATGCCATTATAACACAATTATGACCACATCCAATCAATAATTAACATGTAAACTATAAAATTAGATTTAGATCCTACTCTAGTCATGAAATTGTAGTCAAAAGATAGAATTTGTTTGGATAGGAGTTTATTTGGATGATTTATTTGAGATAATTACGGTAACACTTTTTGTGATGTGATGTATGTGAGACAAAAATGTGATTGAAAATTTGTGAAGCAAATTATTTTTTCTCAAATCATCTCTTCCTAAACACAATTTGCTCACAGTTTGAACACCCACAGCCACAAATATCAAATTTTGAAAATATAGTTAGAAAATGTAGGAAAGTTCCTATTAATATTCATAGGTATTCATAGGTATGCATCATGTATTCTATAATGAAATTTTCATATTCATATAATAACTACTGAAAAAATATTGCAGTAGAAAACTCACAGTTTCTATTGTATCAGCTAAACATCCAAAATTGCAGAAAGAAAGAAAGCGAATGGGCCTATCTGTCCAAACACCCGCAACAAATATATGGAGCACAAGCACTTGAAACAACATTCTTCAACATAAAAAGCCTTTGTTATTGTGGAAATTGAAGAGCACTATAATTATACTTGTAACGGATTAAAAATATAAACCAGAACTAATTTTCTTCATTATTGAGAGCTTCCTAAACCAATCATCTTCAGCATTAACACCCTCTCGTATTATACCTATAAAAACTGCTCACCAATTATAAAAGAAGATGAAGAGCACTACAATTATTTATAAGTGGTTTAAATAGCACTTGAAAGCTTGATAATCACGTGGAATACAAATCAATTACAAATGAGAGGGCACAATAGTCAAATCGTAATCAATTATACATTACAATGCTGTACATTTAGTTTAATCACTTGTATTTGAATTTTTTCTGACTAAATTATCTCCAAAGATGGTGGATGAAAATTTTCCAACAGTCATCTATAAACTCCTTTTTATATATGTATATGATACGTTAAGCATAATCAACAATGAAAATGTCTTACCATTTAAAATACATAATGCATTAAACAATAATAAGAAATATTGCTTAATTTGCATTCAAAATATTAAGTAAAAAATTTGCATTAAAATTTATCACATATATTATCCATTTCATGCATACAACACACTCACAAAGTAACATAGCTCATCTTTTTCATCACGTTTGCACACAAACGCACACGCATAAAATGTCACCTCGTAATTATTTTACCAATTTCTCTTAGGCACAGAGAGACACTTTCCTTTCTCTCAATTACCCATTAACAAATGCAACATTTATGCAATATTTCAATTCAGTGATTAGATTCAATTAGTTATATATATATATATATATATATATGATGTTGGTATCAGAGCCAGAGGGGGAAATGGGGAGATGACTATCTTTCTTTACTAATTATGATGTTGGTAGTGTAGATCTACAAGATTAAATCTTCCTGATGAGATTTATTAATTTCGTGATTACCATCTTTCTTTATTTATGCTACTGATAGTGTAGATCTACAAGTTTAAATCTGATTAGATGAGACTGGTCAACTTCGTGATTACTATCTAATGTATTCAAGCTATATTATAATTCTGGTAGTCTAAATTTCATGACTCTGGATCTGATTAAAGGACATGGAACCAGTAAGTGCTAGCATCCGGTCCAGGTAAGACCATGGGATTTGGCTTTGTAGAGGTGTTAAGGTTCTTGGGACGTACTTCAGGATGGAGAAGTGTCAAAAGGTCAGATCCAGGGAAAATGAGTTCTTACTATCAATTTTATGATTTTGTTTGGAAATATAGTCGTCATGCATAGTTAATCTTTCTCAAAAGATTTAGATCTATTCTCGTAGGTTTATTTTTACTATCTTTATTATGATGGAAATATGGTCATCATGTATAGTTAATTCTTCTCAAAAGGTTAGATATTTTCTTGTAAATTTTCACACTATCCTTTATAATCTGTTTAAGAAAAATAGTTTATCCTCCATGGATCCCGAAGGATTCTGTGCCAAAGGGAAGAGGATTATAAGTTTTTAAAAATCATTTAAGTATTTGTTTATTTACTTTCTTGTTTTATTTTCCTATGACTTCTCCGGTTAAAGCATACTTTATAAATTCTAGTTCTTCTTCAAACAACAAACCTTTGAATAGACTTCAAACTAGAATTGCTCAAATTGAGCAATCAATTCGTATACAAAGAAAACTAGAATTCCAGATTAATGAACAATACATTAGATCTGAATTCTTTGCAAACCACAACCATTCTAAAAGAAAACAATTTTTTGACAAATATCAAGGAGAAGCCCGAAAAAATATACAAGAAAACTTTTATGACTTTTTAAGAAAAACAAAGCAAAACATTCATTTCTTTGACTGGTATAAGTCTCAAACACTCCAGGAGTCTTCCACACCAAAACTCATAAATCCAGTCCAAACCATATCTATACCTGCATCCTCTATGTCAAAAACAATAGAAGCTCAAGTTTATACACCAGATCTCATAGATCAGGTTCAAACTATGTCAAAAATCATAAATACTCAGGATTCCACATTAGAAACTAAGTCAAAATCAGTAGATCTATCCATAGATCTATCTCAAACAACCCATATTTTAGAATCCTCTCATAAATCCTTAGCAGAATCAATAAATGTTTCAAACCCTTCAGATTCTCAGGAATCTTTAGATCTATTAGTAGATCTACCCCAACCAATCCATATAAACCCAGCAGATATAGATCTGCCAGATTCTCTCGTAGATCTATTAAACCCAATAGATTTACCAAACCAAGAGTCTGTTGAAACTTCAAAACTTTTGATTTCCGGACAATCAATTGATAATTCTGTTAATTCTACTAGTATTGATATTAGAAAAGACATAGGAAATTCCTTAGACGTAGGATATTCCTCAATAAATGTCTTAACTAAGAATCAACCTAGTATCAAACCTATAACTGATAAAAATGTTCAAACAAAAATTGATTTCTTCAATTCAATTATTAAACAAGAAACTGCTGAAATTCCCTCTCAACCTTTTTCCAAACTCATGGTTATTAGAAATCCACCAACAAATATTATTTCTTTTAAACAAGAAAACCAGTTAGTTGAAACCCAGTCAACTAAAGATATATTTCAAAATTCTTTACAAATATTTATTTCAAACTTATTCCGTGATTTTAATATCCCTTCCAATAATGAACGTATTTCCCGAAAAAATTCAAAAGAAATTCCTGTAAACAATAATCAGGAAGAAATTCCTAAATTATTTATGCATTCTTTTATAACTTACAAACAGTTGCAGCCTGATAAGTTAAAGGTACTTAATACTGAGTACCCAAGTCTCAAGGCGGAATCTTATATAGAAGAAATATGGTTATCCAGTAAATACAAGGGACAAACAGAAGAGACATGGATCTTCAACAAATTAAAGGAACAACCTCAAATACAAGGAGTATCTGAAAAATCTGATCTGACAAAGTTGGCTAGATCTCGAATCAATATTCCAAGATCCATCAGACCCAGCAAATGGGGCCAGAAAAGCCAGATACTTAAGAAGAAATACATCCAGCCTTTATATTCTTGGAAGAATAGAATTGATCATTCTTCTATTCGAACAAGAAATAAATGGCAAGCTATCAGACGCATTCGACGGAAAACTCAGACAAGGTCTTATCTAAACAAATCAGTCACCAAACCAGAGATTTAGGTAGAATCTGCTTCAACAAAATTGGTCATTCATGAAGTTGAGATCAAAATTGACCAAGAAGCAACCTATACCCATGCCAATAAGATTCTTACTATTTATCCAGAAAAATACCTCTTCAATCTCCTTATCCAATTTATCCCAAAAACTCTTCTAAAACCCTATTTCTCAAACTTACTTTTCAAACCTTTAGAAGACCAAAAATTTTGGATTAAACAAAACTTTCCAATTCCTTTACCTAAACAAGAGTTCAAAATTCAAAAAACCTCCTTGATCAATGCCATACAAAACTTTCAGGGGTTTTCTACCCTAAATAAATCATATTCAAACTCTTTTTTACAAAATTATACTCCCAACCGAAAAAACATCCAAGATCTATACCACCCTCAAATGATTGATTCTGATATTTTCATAATAAAATCCAATATCCTCCAACATTCATACAATAAG